TATGTAATAAGAGATAAACATATATATAATATTATGAATAAAATTTTAAATAAAAAATTTAATTATATAATAATATATTATTATAAACTTACATTATAACTATATTATTTCCACGAAAAAATCAATGAAATCTCTTGCTATGAGAACTAGGCTTTGGATCCAGTGTTTCACTCTTAAATTTTAAAGTATTAGGGTTTGTTAATCGTAATTTTAACCCCACCAACGTATTTTGGAAAAAAATCCCTTTAAAAATTGTAGACAGTTAAAATATATATATATATATCTCGCTATGAAGTTCATGTAATATTTTTCAACTTGAAGAGATGCGTTAACTGAAATGTGTACCCAATCTCTAGATTTGATTTGAATTGAAAATTTGTTTATTAGTATAAAATAAAATTATGTATTAGTTCCGAAATTAGAAGTATCATATGAATCTTTTCGGATCAAACTAATTAATTAAGGATTTAGGATCAAAATGAACAACCTGTTTCGTCCAGGTATTGACAAGGTACATCATGATCATTAGTGCCGATGATCTAATTAAGTCCCTTAACAATAATTTTTTTTAATATATAACAAGATATTTTATATTCAAATCATATGAATGAAGGTGAGATAAACAAAGGTAAATAAAATATTGTTTTATATTATATAACTTAAAATAAAATAAAAAAAATTATTAGTAAGCTTTTGGGGTACAAGAATTATTCCCCACGTATAAATATTTAGTTCAAGTCTCATAAGTGTGAATCTTTAATAATCAATATTAATAAAATTAACAAGAACTTATAGTGTTTATAACTAGGGTTAAAACTATGAGTAATAGTTTGGGTTAAAATATACATTTAGCCCTTTATTTTATTAAATTTAAAAATTTTAATTACTCACTCTATATTAAAAGTTTTTACCTATAAACTTAAAGGTTTGAAGATTTTTACTTCTAAATTAACAGAATCTGTTTGCTCTTTGTTAAAGTAAAAATATACATTTAATCCTTTATTTTATTAAATTTGAAGGTTTTAATTATTCACTTTATACTAAAAATTTTTACCCATAAACTTAAAGGTTTGAAGATTTTTGCCTCTAAATTAGTGGAATCCATTAACTCTTTATTAAAGCAAGAATAAAATATTTATAGAATCAATTCTCAAAGATTAAAAATATAACAATTTAGTTTTAAAAGTTTAAAAATTAAGAAAATAATTAGTGGATGACTTTCTCCTATACATGAGAATAATATTATATATCTGCAATCAAATCGAGCGATTAACTCAATTTGAAGAAAGGATTATAACTAAAACTAAAGAAAATTTCTCAATTAAGTTAAGACAAAAAATACAAAAGATCAAAAGAATACAATTAAGGAATTTCTTTTTAATTTTAGTTAGAATCCTTTCTTCAAATTAAGTTAATTGCTCTTTTTGATTGCAGATATATAATACCATTTTTGTGTATATGAGAAAGTCATCCACTAATTATTTTTAGTTCACTAATTTTTTTAATTTTTAAACTTTTAAAATTAAATTGTCACATTTTTAATTTTTGAGGACTAATTCTATAAATATTTGATTCTTATTTTAACAAAGAGTTAAAAGATTTTGTTAGTTTAGTATATAAAATATTCAAA